CACACACACACACACACACACATACACACACACACACACACACACACACACAGACACACACACACACACACACAGCGGGTAAAATAAGTTTTAAACACGTCACCATTTTTCTCAGTAAATATATTTCTAAAGGTGCTGTTGACATGAAAATTTCACCAGATGTCGGTAACAACCAAAGTAAACCATACATACAAAGAAAACAAATAAGTTCAGAAATTAAGTTATGTGTAATAAAGTGGAATGACACAGGGGAAAAGTATTGAACACATGAAGAAAGGGAGGTGCAAAAAGGCATGGAAAGCCAAGACACCAGCAGAAATCTATATTTATTGATCCATTCACTGCAGTGTGTATCAGTCAGTGCTACAGCATATAGAGATGCTGCATCAGTCATGTGAGAGTGCTTTGGAGATTTTTCTCAGTAAATATATTTCTAAAGGTGCTGTTGACATGAAAATTTCACCAGATGTCGGTAACAACCAAAGTAAACCATACATACAAAGAAAACAAATAAGTTCAGAAATTAAGTTATGTGTAATAAAGTGGAATGACACGGGGAAAAGTATTGAACACATGAAGAAAGGGAGGTGCAAAAAGGCATGGAAAGCCAAGACACCAGCTGAAATCTATCAGTAATTAGAAAGCAATCCTGCCCCTCGTCAGTGGAAATTAATATTAGCTGCTTCAGTCGCAACTGATGGCCTATAAAAAGGTGTCTCATGACCAACGTGTCACACAAGAAACATTTCATGATGGGTAAAAGCAAAGAGCTTTCTCAAGACATTCGCAACCTTATTGTTGCAAAACATACTGATGGCATTGGATACAGAAGCATTTCTATACTTCTGAATGTTCCATTGAGCACTCTTGGGGCCATAATCCGAAAGTGGAAAGAACATCATTTCACCATAAACCGGCCACGACCAGGTGCTCCTCACAAGATTTCTGACAGAGGAGTGAAAAGAATGATTACTTGGGTTGTTACAGACATCTGGTCAAAATTTCATGTCAACAGCACCTTTAGAAATATATTTACTGAGAAAAATGGTGACGTGTTCAATACTTATTTTACCCGCTGTATGTGTATATATATATATATATATATTATAACAAATAATTTAAATAATAATTATTTAATTGTAATTTAATTTTAAATATTTATTTTAAAATTATATTATTTTATCAAAATTATTTTAATTTTATTAAAATTATTTTATTATTTTTACATATTTTTAAATGTCAGACATTTTGTTTATTGGCTGTAGCATAAAAATTGTACATGTACATCGCCATCTTAAGCCAGAACATTTCCTATTACGAATGTGTAATGCTTATTTTGCCTCATTTCTTGGGTTGTACATTGTCTATTGAGACAATGTTTATCTCGTACTAAAATATATATTAAGTGCACTTCTGCTTTTGTGTAACTTGTTTGATTGCAAATTAGTCATCATGTGAAGTCCAGCATGCTCTACAGATCATAAAAGGCTTTGACTCATTCGGTCCAATTATGATCCACAGGTGGAGCTGGCATTGTGGGACACAGCAGGACAGGAAGACTACGATCGTCTGAGGCCTCTGTCTTATCCAGACACAGATGTCATCCTCATGTGTTTCTCCATAGACAGTCCCGACAGTTTAGGTAATTCGGTTTGCTGAAAACCCAGAAATCTTGTTCATATCTTTTAGTTTGGCTCATCCTAATTTAGGTCAAGGCCTTTCTTGCTGGAAAAAATGATTCACTGAGTCATCACTGTATGCAGGATGTTCCTGTGTTTTGTCTAAGAGCCGAGGCGCATCATGATAACTCTTGTGTCCATGACATCACTGTCCTTTTATCTCCACCAGCTTCCCGAAGGAACATCCTGGTTCTCTTCTCTGTTACAATAAGTGTCGGGAAGCTTGAACAAATTTGACTAATGCTAGCAATTATTTGTCAGAATTCAGCCGCATGATTCAGCAGAGTTCATAAGATCAGTATTACATAAAAATATCAGTCTTATAATTCATCCAGCAGTGAAATGAGTGTTGGAATGGAACCACCATTATTCTTCCGAGACTGTAAACATGAATTACTTCTGAATAATAGGATTGGATTTGTTGGGACAAATCGCTTATTTCACTCATACTTTATTAGGGTCACATTCACATTACAAAACAACGTTCTATAAGACCATATATAAGTATTATTTAACCTTTTCATGTTTTTGTGAACCATATTTTAATTTCACCATATTTTTTCTTCATACAGTACCTACAGTTTGGAACGTTTGGAAACACTTTCTTTTTATATATATATGTATATATATATAATTTTTTTTATATTATATGTAGTTTTTATACAATTTATTTTATATACTACATATATTAATTATAATATATTTATAAAAAACGTAATAAATATAATTGTTTTCTTTATTTCAAATAAATAAATATATATATATATTTGAAATGTATTTAAAATTTTGGATACATTTTCTCATTATATTATATTATGA